TAATGAAATTCTCTATTGACTTCAAATATCCGAATTATAATGTAGGCTGGGAAGTTACAAATTATAGGGATTTGTAAACAAAAAGGAAGAAACACGGATTCAAAACCATGTTGTGATAAAGGATTCTTGATAGCCAAAAGCACTAACAAGATTACTTTAAAATTAAAGGGACTGCAGACACTGTATACAACATGAACTATGAGTAATGCTATTTGTTAAAATTGCTCTTCCAAAACCAATTACAAGATTTACTGTACAATAAAATTGTTTCAAAATTTTCCTCTTTCACCTCTCCTTGCCAGGCTTAAAATAAAAAGCTGGCACTAGGCATGCAGCTTTTTCCCCCAGACAATATTAGTTTGGACACCAAAATCCAAAACTTTAAAGAATTCATGCAGCAGTCACAAAAGTTTTGAAAGCCTTAATTCTTCATCATGCGCAAAAATAGCTCAGCTATTGCAGGAAATCAGCTAATGCCCCCCAGTTCAGGGACACCAGTGCCAACAGGGGCCAGAAACACAATGTTCTTTGAGCTGAACAAGAATTGGGTTGCTCATAACAATTATGGCAGGGGGAAATTCCCTATCTTCCAGGTATACTTTGTTCACATTCTTCTGTCTTTGGATGAGAAATATTAGAGGGACAATACTGCCTCCAGCTTCAGTACTGCTAATTTACCCTGTGCAAGGTGGATTTCTGCCAAGAACCTCTCTCTTTTGCTGCATCCCCTCAGAATTCAGCCCGTGTGTTTCATTACTGGATGCAACACACTGACATTCAATGACAGACACTGTCCATTGCACCAGGGAATTTGCACAGGCACTAAAATACAATGACAAGTTCAAGTGTAGGGGATAAATAAATATGAGATAAAATACCCCAGAATGATATCTTGGTTTAAAAAGAGAAGATTTATCACTATCCCTGTTCAAGGCAGAGGTGGTACATTACAGGAGAGAAGCTGCTGTTCCTCATAGGTTCTTCTAAAATCCCGAGAGTCTCAGAACTTGAGACTCTTGGAAAGATTTTAATATCTAAAGTGAAAACAGTGTGTCTTTCAGTGGTCCTGTCATGCTGTGGTTTCAGGTGATTGGTACCAAAGTTCCTTCACTTTGTCAGTTCTATCCTCACTCTGAAAAGGTTAGTAATATTCATCTACCAACTTTTGGCCTCCACAAGTCAAAGGCAAGGTACTGATTTTGTCCCTTGTCCTTTTTTTTTCCTTCCCCATGGAAAATAGAATTTATCAGTGCCTTTTACAGCAGTCTGCAGCATTTCCCATCCTACATTAGAGAGACTTGCAGTTAAAGGGGAAATGCTTTGCTTTTGAAAAACAAGAAAAGGATGTCTCTTGCTGAAAAATCCTAAAAATCCTACTTATATAAACAATGTCCCATTTCCAAAGCACGGTGATTTCTGAAATTCAGCAAACAGACTGTCTGCGCTGCATTTACACAGACCCACGTTCATTCATCACTTTCAAGTCTAATTACCAAACCATTTCCCTCTTGGCAACCCCTAATGGCCAGAAGAATTAGGTTTTACATGGTCAGGATGCTGAGGGTAACAAATACCCATAACTCTCTGCAGCTGTGTAATTTATGAAGTCTCCCAAGCTTTGTGCAGGCACGGGATTACTTCAAGGCAAACTTTGCTGCTCACACACTGCATTATCTAGCCCAGTCCTGCTTCAGTGCAATCTGTCCTACAAAAAGTCATAACAGTATCTTTCAAAAGTATGGGGAAAGAAAAGAAAAAGTCATAATCTGCTTGTGTAAGCAAATGCTAATTAGAACCACAAAGCAGAGAAAAAGGCTCCGTGCATCTCATAGTTCACCTCTCCTGATGCATGATGACTGCAGAAGTTTTTCCTTTCTCAAATTTCTCCTCTTCAAACCTCACTGTGACACCTGTAACTTTCTACCATCTTTTCTGCTGCAGGTTTATCATTGTTTCTTTAGAAACAGTCATGGTGAATGCCTCCCTTTTTCTCTACAGTCAGGCCACTGAGCCACTAATTTTTCATTTTAAGTTCTCTCTAAACTTACTCTAACATCTCAACATAAATCAGAAAGAAATGGAAAAATCCTCCATGAGCATTAGAAGCTCAGAGTAACAGAATAAAATGCAGAAGTGAACACAGCTCAAAGTATCTTTATGTCTTCACTACCATACCGGAAACTCAAGACCAGTCAGAATCACCCTCTTGACTTCTTGCATCAAGGATAATCAGATTTTTATCTCAAGCAATTGCTCCTTACATTGAACTATTTTTCTTCAGAGCTGCAGGATTATATTTTCATAAACTGTCTTTAAAACTGGTATGCATCCAATCCACATTCTTAATTACTTGATTAATAGGTATCAGCGTGTCAACTACTTGCAAAATAGGGAGGGTATGGACAGACAAGAAAAGAATCCAGGAGCTTAGTTCATATCGATAAAACACATGGAACTTCTAAGCAGGCTGGATAAGAAATAATCTTTTCCAAATAAAACATTTTGACAATGAACAATGTCAATTACTATAATTTTTGCTGACTTCAAAGTATTGCTAGCTCTAACTAATAAACATACACAAATAGATTTTGTAAAACAAAACTGCTACACAAGACAGTTACATTAGTTAGCGTGTTAGATGTATTACAATTATGGAATGAATTATGGCTTGGGAATGTGTAATAAATAAAGACTGTGGCATAACTGAGTGCAGCCACAGTGTTTGCACAACGGTATGTGCAGTGACAGAATTCACTACCTGATGCAAAGGAGATCTTATTATGAATGGCCCAAACAAGAAAATTCCTTAGCTTCCTTTACCTACCTCTACTCTCATTTAATTACAAAATCTATTAGTTCATATGCCCCTGCTGCTGAGAAGGGATTGTTTAGTGATCTCTACAGAAGGCTGGGAGCAAAACAACCACAAGCTTTAGTCAAATCTAAGTAATAGGTTAATGAATACTTGGCAGGATGCTTTGAAGAACAAAAGCATTAAGTGATTTACTCAAGGTTATTTCACATCTGTATTTCTGATCAGAATTGCACATAAAATTACTCCCACAACTTAACAGTTTCAGAGTCTCTGGATTTCTGAACATGCCCTTGTAGGATCAGGACAGGTTACCTATCCAGGAGATACGGACTGTGGCACATCCTGCACAAAGCCCTCAGCATCCTATCAAGGATTTAAACCATGAGGATTTAAACTCTCACAAAGCTGTATCACAGAGTGTTCTTCACTGCCAAGGCAGAGAAAACTAATTCAGCCAACAGAGGGAATGGGGAGACAATATAAACAGGTGTTTCCTTGAAAACTTCAGCACAGTCAGTAATAGTACAGGAAATGGATCTCCAGAGGCCACAAATCGTTAGCATCTCTAGTGCATTTGCAAATTCCTACTGTGCAAAGTCAGCCTGTAAAAAAGGGCCATTGCTAATAAGTGCCTTGTCTGGTTTCCTACACCATTTCATTTCAGATGAATTTTATGAGAACTCTGCTACATATTTTACCTCCCATCTGGTTCAGATTTGACAATGAAATATTTGTGTGTCCCACCCTGTTCTTTTTAAAGCTCCAAAACCAGATGTCTCCAGCACAACACAACTGCAGCAGGTCACACCACATTCTTCAGCAAGCTGTGCCGGGCCTACTACCCCCCACAGACAGACCCAGGTAAGGTAAAACCAGGTTGTTTACTCTCTAAAAAAGCAAACAAACATACAAACTCACTACCTCCAGGGCACTCTGTGAAAGACTGTTTAAAATGTATTATGGCTTAACCTTCCAAGAGGTTTAATCTTGATGAAGTGCTGGTTCTGGAAGCTAAACACATTAACAACTGCAGCAGGGGATGATATTTTCTCCCCTTCACTGGCTTGATTCAGGCAAACAATTTTGCAATTTCTCTGTTGCTTCAGTGCATAGCTCTTCTAGGAAGCTCACAAATTTCACAGCTGCATACATTGCACATGAGAAGGACTCGGAGGAAAACATCTTCAATCAAATTTTGCATTTTCAACAGTAAGAATGTTCCTTTCTTGGCAGCTTCACTACATGTGATGCCACCTCCTGTGACACAAATAATTTATTTGTGTCACCAAAACATTAAAATGGCACCTGTTATCCTTCCCTGAAGATAGAAATGCCCTTTTTGTAATAAAAAAGAATCTGCAGAGATGCTGAGGGAGCTTTTTCCCCAGAAAAATGTTGAAGTCTTGATGTGCCTTTAAACAGGACAAATGCTTTCTAATGCACCAATTTGGTAGCTTTTCATGCAAAATAAAACAGGATAAAAATATTTACTGCAACAGGAAGTAGCAATGACATTTATAAGGAGGCATCCCCCAAGAAAGTCCATTTACAGAGCCTGTCAAATCTTAAATGCTGTAGTAGAAACTAAAAACTGCAATAATTCTACTTCAGACATGAGGTAAACATCTCTTGGAATCATCACAAAGCAGGATATTAAAAAAAATACTATTAGCTGTTTGCACAATAATCCATTCTTAATGTCACACATGAAAGGACACAATTGTTCCCAAATCTTTTAATGAAGTTTTTCCCAGTCTGGCAAAACATTTAAACATAAGTGTAAATTTAGTATTATGAGTTTTCTCCTTGGAAATTAGTGTTATGTAGCTTATGATCCTATCGTTTGCTTGATGGAGACACCAAATTAGGCCAGGGCAACAACCCTGGGAAAAGAAAGGAGTTAAGTTACTGGAAATAAAAGGTAAAGCCACAGAAAAGAGTCAAAGAGTATGAGAACCAGTAGATTCATTCCTGCTAATGAGATGAGAAAGGAGGAACTCCATCAGCTTACCTGTTTATGCCAAGTTAAATAGGCTTGAGTAAAAGACACATATTACCCTTCTGTATAAAGAATGAAGATATTTAATACAATAATTCTAGAAAGGTAAATAAATTTGTGATTGTACAGTGTAAGAATAGTTTATCAGGAAATAATGTCTGTTGTTTTTGTAACATGATTACTTACTTTCCCCTTTCTACTGCCAAGGCATCTATTTCATCAAAGAAAAGAATTGAAGGAGATACTGCTCTGGCTTTCCTGAAGATCTAAAAAAAAAACAACAATGAAATACCCAGTTTTAAGGAAAGGAAGCTGTTTACAGTACACTATCACCCCCTGCACACCTCAAGAGCTACAGAGCTTCACATAACAGACATCAGCCTGTCTTGGCTTGGCTTGTTTTTATTTTAAAGCAGATTTTTTTAAAAACAGTAGCAACAGCTGCCACAGGATCCCAAATTCGACATGTATCACTAGGTCAAGGCAGGAGAAGGCTAAAAATCCCTGCTGCTTCATTTTTTAATTTTCTTTGTTAAACTTACAGGAGAAGGAGTTTTTAAGAAAGTTTAATGGTAATCTCAAAGAAGAATTTGAAAGCCAAGGAAGCTTATATCTAACATTATCCACAGCTTGCCCTTTCTCACCTCTCTCACTGCTCGTTCAGACTCACCAACATATTTATTCATCAACTCAGGCCCCTGAAAAATAGGAAATTAAAAAGCATGATACATTTGTATGCAAAATGATTGAGACAACCTGCCAACACTACACTATGTTATGTTCTGTTACAAAAAATTCTGAGATTTTGTCATTTGTAAGCCTTATGGGTGCATTTTTATTTACCCTCTACCTGAACCAAGCTCTCTCCATTTATTTTAGTACCTATGCATGTTGGTTAGTCCTCTCAACCTGACACTTTCCCAGTACCTTCATGAGAAATGGAATTAACCATAAAAACAAACACTGAGGTTCTTAAAAGTGCTCAACAACAGCACCAAGAGGCTGCAAATCAGCCAGAAGGACAAACCACAGTAAAGCATTTCCTTGCACTCTCAACCTGCATCCTGCCCAACCAAGCACCACAGCACTGACTGTGTGACTAATGTTTAACAGCACTTCTTTGAACTCTATAGGTGAAGCAAGAAGCTCCACAGCAGCACACCTGAAACCCATCCCTTGCAAGGGAGCTGTTCAGCATCTGAGCTCATGCACATTCCTGCTCCTCTGCTGAGGCTGCCAAGCAGGATTATGAGTGCCAGATGCTGTGATGCCTGTTTATCCTCTCAGCCCTGTCCACCAGGAACGGACTGGAGACCACAGGGTCAGCATTCCAGTCTTGAACAAGTACTTACAATTATAAAAAGTAAAACAATGGCAAATTCTCAGAGTATTTTCTGTTCTGCTGTATCTGTAGGATGCTTAAATAATGCTTCCTAATGGGCCTCAGCTTCTTCTGGGATTGGTAACGACTCATTGACTTCAGCCTGGTTTGCATCAACACTGACCTGCAGCCACAAACAATGATCATTATCTGCTGCCCTGAACGAAAAGAGCCAGTGGCTCCAATCTATTTTCCAGGCAACAACAGGTGTCCTTGTAATTTCCCCAGAAGAAACAACATCCTTCACATCCAGAAAGCTGAACCACCTCCTCCCAGCTGTGGGTGCCTTCAGGTAACACTAAGCCCAGAGCATAGGGCAGCTTTAACAGCAGGTATGTCACAATTACGAATGTGTGGCAGACACACATTTTTATGCACTGGCAATGACAGAGCCTCTGTTATAAAGCCCACTTTGAATGGGACCATCTGGACTTTGTTCCCAGGCTGGTGGAACGCAGATTCATCACTCTAAAAATGCAGCACACTGGTTTATGCAGCCTCCCCTCTCCATGCCCATTTTCATTCCTGCAGTAACAGTTAATGCACTGACTTTACCTTGACACTGGAAAACACCTGTACTCATGCAGGGGTAAAAAATGTATCCTCTGAAAAGCAAAGCACAAGTTATCTGATACCAGCAAAGCATCCAGACATAGATACCATTTTTACTTATTTCTTTTCAAAGAGTTGACCTTTATCCAAAGGACCAGGTGAATGAATGCAGCAGCCAGACCTAGAGCACCACACAGGCCAAAGCCACCCTGTAAGGTTTGATAGGGCCAGCATTGTGCACCTGAGCTGTAGGAAAGGTAAATGATACAATTAGCATTGTTTTCTTTCAGCAACATCCACCCTTAAAGCAACTGCTGTGGCAGCTGAAGTGTCACCTGGAGGCCTCCAATGACTGCAAAACTGCAGTCTGGTGAGTACCTGCATGGAAACAGAATTATTCAGACACAAAACCGAGGAATGCAGGAAAGACAGAAGGGAAAGGCAAGGTGAGGAGAGAAGCACAAAGCCTTTTGCTGCTATTGACACCACGCATGAGGAGCGTGCAGCAGTTAGTGAGGGCCAGACTGCAGCTCAGAGACAGCCCAGCTGCTCCGGGCCCTCGCTGTTCATCACGCTCAGGGCAGATGAGGAATCCGATAGCACGGCCCTGACAAATCGTTAAAGAACGAGAGCAGAGTCCTCTCCATCCAGCTCTCTGTCACAATGAGAAACCACTGCAGACTTTACCCACAAATACAGATATCGCTCACCAACTTTTCCTTGGAATCTGTAGACCTTCCCTTTCATGCCCTCATTCCCATAAGTAACCTTTATTCACATCAGTATTCCCATGGAAACCAACATCACATGCATCCATGCCAACAGTGTGTTCCTCTCCTATGATGCAACATGAAACAGCCTGACATTTTCTTTCGTCTCAGCAAAAAACCCCCTTAAAATCAAAACTATTCTATTTGAGCTTTAAGGTACAATATAATTTCAGATGCTTGTAGTTTTATTTTTAATTAAGGATTAAAATGTGATAAAGGAAACATCAAAGCAATCAATAAATTTTAAATGTTTCTAAGATAATTATTTTGAATGCAACTTTTTGCTGTAAGCTTCGACATGAAGTTTTTTTCTATTTTTCTCTTCATTAAGCAGCAACTCCAGGTGACAGACCACTACATGTTAATGACCTGTGCCTCTTTGTGCAGAATTTTCATTAAAATTGGTTTCAAAGTCTCCTAGTTCACCCTTCATGAGGGGAATCAGAACTCCATTTGAGTGTCATGGTTTTTACTGCAAGCAGCTCAGAATCCTTATTGTCCACGGCAAGAAAAGAAAAGGCTCTGAAGTAAGACAAAGCACATACAGAAGAGGAGGAATTGCTGTACAATACAATTATGCAAACACTGAAAACCACAACACAAAAACTAGAAATATTCAAAGCAGCAATAAAAAAAAAAAAAAAAAAGGTAGCAAATTAACTGGGTGATCTCTGGTCCCACCTGAGCTGAGTCTTTGCCTTACCCTGTCTGCACTGATGCTGTCCTTTAGCTCAGATTCATGGCAGCTCTTATTTGAAAAATAAATCTGCCAGACATGCAGTCTGCAGGCCACCACAAAGTCACTTGCTGGCAGCTGATACAGCTTCTCATTTTCACAAAGCTCACCTTTAGCAGACTTTCTTTGGAGGCCACTGAAGAAATACCAAGAGAGCTTTTTTATTTTGTCTTTCAGTGCCTTTCTAAATGCTTTAAAAAATCAAATGACATGAGCTTGATTTAGCAAGATGACATTTGTTGAAAGATCATTTCTGGCCAAGAGGTGAGCATATAGATTCTTTTTAAAAGCTTTTTATAGCTGTTGATAGACTGACCAAGAGGTGCTAGTAAAAAATAGGCCAGTCTAATGCTGCACAGCTCGGTTCTCATCTGCAACAAGTCATCTTCCATACAAGCAGACAAGAAGAAATAAAACCTGTTTCTTGTGGTCATTTGCACCGGGACTCCAAAACCAGCAAAAGATTTGGAGCAGAAAATTGGCAGAAGCAGTTGTAGCTTATCCATGCATATAAGCATTTGTGAGCTAGAGTCCAGACTGACAGTAAAAAATCCGCCAATTCAGGCTCACTGGATACTGCTGAAGTTTCTTTATTCAGCCCCAAAGTAGAGAGAGTTTGCAGGCATGCTCTGCTTAAAGACTATTCCATCCCCACTTACAAGACATATTCCCATGTATCATGAAACCTTCTACTTGCTTATGGTCTGGATTGGATGAATTTTAATTTCTTTTTTATTTTAATAAAAAACTAAAATTTCTTGCATTTAAAATATTATCAGAATCAACTTTTGAAAGATAAACTGCACAAAACATAAAACCCCTGTATACATACAGCAACACCAGATAAGCTTGTGCATACATGGTTTAACCAAAGTTCTCAAAGCATTTTTAAATTTCAAGAGGGACATCTGCTATCCCTGAAGTTAAAGAGTATCAGTCATTTTTCTGAGCAGGGCTTAAGACCACTTGCAGATTTTTTCCATCACTTGGGTGATGGAAATTTAGTCAGTCACTTCTCTTACATGGTTTTTTTTTTTTTTCCACTCTTTTGACAATCAGGCAAGTTATGCACTTAGGCTTTCTGAGTCACATGGGCACAGCTCCAGATGTCTCCAGCACACAGCTCAGTCTAGACTCTTCAGAAATACCCTGATAACCTCACATACAGGTTCTGGGCTTTTACACAGACACATTAAACTGTTAGGCACTGAGTACAATTCCTGTGTCCTAAAAATCCAACTAGAGGGTTTCTATCTCATCCAATAGGTTAATACTCTAGATCATTACTACAAGATAATGAACAATTCCTTCTTTGCCATATTCAAAGCAGAAATGATCAGACATTAAAGTATCAGTCAAAATTAATATTTAATTTCAAATTATGTCTCTAGAAACTGAGTTCTATATTGTGAATCTCAGAAAATAAAAAAAAAGAAAAGACAGAGGTGCCAAAATGATTTTTCAACCATTCACAATATGTTCCTAGGGCAATGTTCACTGCCCACAGTCACACTGGCATCTGAGTTAGACATTCACATTAACTGACTTGGGCAGACAGCCATTCACCTCTCAGGTGCCATTTGCTAGTTTCTCTTAAGACTGCAGAAGAAGCTTAGACATCCAGCTCAGAGGAGCAAAGTTTGATCCCACTGCACCAATACACCCTTCATACAGTTAAAACCAGCATATTTTTAAAATTATTTTCAGATTTGACACTGAAGAGTCATGGAAGACTGAAGATAGAGTAACGGAATCACAGAATGGCCTGGGTAGAAGAGTTCTTAAAGATCATTCAGGCCCAGCCTCCCTGCCATGGGCAGGACACCTTACACCAGACCATGTTGCTCAGAGCCTCATACAACATTACCCTGGGATGGGTAATCCACAACTTCTTTGGGCAACTGCCTCACCATGCTCACAGTAAACAATTTTCCTAATCTATCTAATCTAAATCTATTCTGTTCCATTTAAAAACCATTCTTCCTTATCCTGTCACTACATGTTCATGGAAAAAGTCTTTCTCCATCTTTCTCGTAGGCACTGTTTAGGTTTAGGAAGGCCACAATTAAGTCACTCCTAAGCCTTCTCTTCTCCAGATTGAACAATCTCAATTCTCTCAGCCTTATGCTCTATTCTAACAACACTGAAAAGACTCAGAAATTAGTTATTGAGTCCTTTGGCACTGTAATCTCCATGGCAAAATGCTATTACATCCCTCCCACAGTCCAACCAAAGCAGCATATGACTCAGGGAGGCTGC